TCTGTCTATGGCACTGTGGGCAAATTCACTGGGAGTCCCTCCTGGTGCCCTATCCTGTCTTGTGCCACGTGCTTGCAGTAAACAGGTTACTATCAGGCTGGCTTGGAAGTCAAACTCTGATGCCATCTTGCTGAGGCAGCACATGCCTTGTGTTTGGGCGGGAACTGAGGGTCCACTGTCATGGGAGATGGCACAGTGACTGATGTTGCATTCCCTTGGGTGAAGATTTCAAGGACCTGGTGGGCCCTTTTGGTGAACAGCTGCAGGAAGTGAGATGAAGCAGGGCCCCTTTTTCCTCAAATGTAAAAATAGCAGGGTCAAAGTGGTCCTCTGACCGAAAAAAAAAAAATGTGTCAGTGTTTAGTTTTACCTGGTTCCAGAGAATTTTGAAATGAAGCATCTGTGCATTTTAGGCAGGAACTGGGAGACCTGGTCCTTGGTAGCATTTTAGAAAGAAAAGGGCAATAACTAGGAAATCATTCTGCTTCTGACTGAGCGAGCTGATATTCAAGGGGCATACTATGGAATAGGGGAGGCCTGGACACAAGGTGAGGCAGAGTCACCACCCCACACCCGGTGTTGTCAGAAGGTCCCATCAGGCTCTCTGGAAATGAGACTCAACAGTGAGGCTGCTTTTAGCCCATGGATTCCTTCAGGAAGTCCTGCAGCACTCACATCCCCTTTGTTACTGGAATGCTTTCCCCTTCCCTTCTTTGTCCTGATTCCTAATCCATTCTGAGGTCCCAGAAGATCCTCTTCTTCAAAGTCTTGGCCAGTGAGATCTTCCAGAAGCTTCTGGAAGCATTCCTCTGCCACTCTGAGTGGAAGGGAGCAAAATAGAGAATTTGTTTTTTTTGAAGGGGGTAGGGACCAGCAATCGAATTCAGGACCTCACACTTGCCAGGCAGGCACTAATGCCACTGAGCTAAATCCTCGGTCCCAGCGAGATGGAAAATTCTATTTTCCATAGTACCACGTGGCCACTGCATTGTGGCATAGGAGCTGGTCTCTGTGTGTTTGTGCCTGGCAGTAAACCTACTAGGCGTAACCTGGTAGTGAGCCACATAAAAACAGATCAGATCCCAGTGGCTTGCTAATGCAGCCCCTGACAAATAGATGGACTTAAAGGGCATTGTTCCCAACAGGAATTCTCATAGGAAAACCTGTCTTTCCCCATGAATTTCCCCACGAGCTGTGTAGCACATCCCACTTCACTGAACTGGTGCAAGCAGGCTCCACTCCACCCACACGCACAAATGCAGCATGTTCTGTCCCTTACTTTGAACCCACAGCCTTGGTTCTGCTGGATGGGCAGTGATTTTGTAGTAGCTAAGATAAAAGAAATGAAAGCCCAAGACTGAGTTCTTGGCTGCTGTCTGCCACCTGCCATCTGTCAGCCTTAGACAAACCACCTCACCTTGTCCCCTGAATTATCATCTCTCTCCTGTGGGATCACCTGGAGGACCATGTGATGCCATGGATGAAAATGTGCTTGGAGAAATCACAGGATTTTCCATCCCAAGTTCTGACAACATTCTCTCGCCACAGCCTTTGGCTTCAGGCACTGACATGCCCATAGGCTTGTCCTGTTGATGAGTGTTGTTTGGAGTAGCTTGGATACACACTCTGTCAATAAAAATGACTCATAGAAACATCAGTATTTGTTATCGTGATAATGGGGAGCCCTTGAACAGACTTGCATGAGGCTGCATTACAGCAGCAGCCACCTTGTTACTTCAGGAGCACTGCTGTCATCTGGAAACTTGTTTAACTTCTATCTGACCGTAAGCAACATATTTTTCTTCTCTCCTGACCTGCCCTCCCAAGTTAACCCTCATGAGCTTGTGCACCCAGTTAGGACCTGTCCACCCTGTCTTCTAAATCACCCTCTCATTTCTCCTGTGTCTCACTTTACATGAGCCACATTACAGCCAGCTGAGCAGCAAGTGGCTGCTCATACGCTCAAGCACCTCATACTGCAAGTCTCAGTCAATTGGAGGAGACCATTGGTAACCTCTTATCACATACCAGATCTTCAAGCCCCTGTATCTGGGATGTCAGGAGTTAGCAATTCTTGTCATTAAATTACTAGGACATCAGGAGGATCTAGTTCAACATGATTGGCTGGTTGATTGATGAGCGTGCCTAAGTTATTCAAGAGAATTCAGTTAGAATAGGGGAAGCTGAAGGGAAAAGAGGATGCACTTGCCTTTGTATCATTCACATCTGCAAAATGAAGAGCTATAGTGGTTAGGTAATGAGATCTTGTGCGGGAAAAGATGGTGAAGATGAGACAAACTGAGGTTGCACAAATGACAGAAATCTCACAATTGTTGTCATCAGAGATGGACAATAACACACGAGAGGCAACAGTCTGATTTTTCAGACTTGTTGGCTAACAAAATAGAATTTTCAGAGATTAGAGTGAGTGAGTGTGTGTGTGTGTGTGTGTGTGTGTGTGTGTGTGTGATATAAAAACCTCCATCCACCAACTTTCTTCCACTAATTGTTCCTTTCAAAATTACTCAACTCAGATTAGGTGTCTTAGGACAATAGTATTTTTCAAAGCATGACTGAAAAACGCTTTTCATTAGCAAATGTTTAACCATCCCGGTTTCTCTCTGACCTTTGAACATGTGAAAGAAGTAAAATTAGATCATGTTGGTCCAGGTCAGGAAAATGGAAATGACCAAGATTACACAGATGGAAAAGACATCTGTGTGTTTTGGGTAGCATTTTCCCCCACCCAAAGAGACTGGGGTTGGAGGTTGCTACTATATCTTTCCCAGGAGAGCTGAGTACATCAGCTGAGTGGATTGCAGTTCTGTGGTTGAGTTACTGGGTGACTGGCAGGAACTCTTCACATTGTAGTCCCTCAGGCTGCTCATCAGATGTCACTGCAAAGTTGGTTTTGAGGATTCCCTGCCATCACCTTGCCATAGCTAGGGAGACCCAGAGGCCTCATATCTAAGTCTCTCTCCAAGAAAGGGTAAACTTGCCAAGTATGAGAGCAGAATGTATCCAACTGTTTCAAGAATGTCTGTCCGTGTAAGGCAAAGGCTTTGCAAGCAGTAGAGAGGAGGTAGGAAGGAGCTATTGTGACACCTTGGTAATTGGAGGAAAGAAAGCAAGGCACATGTTTCGGTGTAAACAGTCACCACACTTATGTGCCAGTTTTGTCACACTTTACCCACCTGCTGTGAGCCCACTGAAGCCTTTGCATCAGCAAAAATATTTGCACAGTGTGTCGCCAGAGTACTTGAGTGTCTGATGTTTCTCCATGCAGTCTCCCCAGCTGTCTCCAATCCTCGGATGTGTGGCCCTCGCAAAGGATAGCCGTTGGCAGCAAGCCAGGCCATTCTGCTCCGACTTGGAACAGAAGGGAATATGATTTAGCCATTTTTTAAAATGCGCACCCTTATAGACTTCAGAAGAATTTCAATTTCAGGACTGTCTCTGCAACTGGGACCAGTGCTGGGATTAGCATATTAGCATATTAGATTAATCCCAGTGCTGGGATTAGCATGTTAGAAAAAGTACCAGTGCCAAGCCATGAAATGGGCCTTAAAGTTCAATCCTGGCTACAAATCATTGCTTCCTGCACTTATTTCCATAGAAAATCATCCTTTTGGGACTTCACTGTGGTTGATTTTCACTTGTCAGAGTTGCTTGGTATGTGGCAATGTGCGTGCACATGCTCAGCTACCCCTGCACCTGTGTGTTTGCACACACACAACCCCATGCCCACAAGTGTGCATATATACACTCATCCTTGTATGCGTGCATGCTCAGATCATGCATTATGTGTGCAAGTAAATATGTTCCCCAAGTGTTGGTTGTGCACACTTGTGTAAGAGCAAGTTAGCCTTCATATGTGTTTTTGTGCAGTCTCAAACATATGTGCAGTCACCCTCTATACATGTGCATATTATGCCCCATGTCTTATGTACACACTGTTGCCTCACAATGTAGTAACACTCACCCCTGCATATATTTCTAGTTGCACACTCACCCTCACATCCTCACAGGCATGTGGTTATACATATACCCTTTGAGTGTGTGCTACATGCATAGCCATGGCTGCTGCACACATGTGCCCACGTAGGACTCACACATGCTTGGGTGCATGTATGCTAGCTCCCTACACTTATGTATATGCACATGTACTTGTTCTTGCACACTCCCCTCTGCATGTGTGTATGCCTGCACACTCAACTCCCACCAGTGCTTACATGCATATCTCCCCCGCATGTGTGAGGATCTCTGCATCTAATTGACTTTGCTTGACTCACTCATGAGCCTGGATTAACCTTATGAAGTAGGAGGCAGCCCAGTATTTAACTCTGCAGCTTTTTGCTCTCAAAATATTTTTGAAAAATACCCATCTAGTGGAACAGGAAAGGCTCAAACTTGAAATGTCTGAGCACTTCTACATTACATTCCAGCTCCTAATCTCAGAGCTGTAGCAATCTGTTATCTAAAAATTGCATGTTTTAGTCATTGTTTATCCATGGGGGAGGGGACACTTGTAGGTCTTAGTGCAGTAAGTGATTTAGCTTCTGTTTCCTGTGTCCTTGCTCCTTTTAAAACGACACCACTGATTGATACGTGGAGTTTCAGTTTGAATGTTCTCACCCGTAGACTCATGTGAACTTGCTTTTCATGCTACATTAAAACAGGAAGGTCAGAAGCAACTGTTTTTCCAAAAGCTCGTGCTACACCGGCAGTTTGAATTGCATGAACCCAATAAATACCTACAAAACTGGCCATCTGTGCTACCAATTCCAGCTGGGAACCTCATGGTTTCATGTATGAGTCAAAAAGAAGCGTGCCAGCCAGCCTCAATGCGTTTTATGCCACAAACCAGTGAATGTGCATATATCATGTGTAAGTGAGGGGCAGATGAAGTGAAAACCAGCTATCAACTGCGGAGGAATTGTGCAAAATTAGATAGACATGTACATGTTCTCAGCTTTTGTCTCTTAGTTTAAATCTTTAAAATATGAGAGGAGAAGGGAGACGTGGTGAGGCGGGGGGAGAGTGTAACAGTTTGATTTTATATCCTCTGCTAGTCAGGTAATAGCTCTCCAAGTTATTTTTATAGGTCATTCTATCTAGTGGTAACCTACAGTATAAAGCCATCTCCCAGCTTCCCAATAGTGCTGTCTGTTTTCTCACTTTCTAATAATTACTTCAGATCTGAGAGTAAAGCCTTGTCACACTGAATATGAATCAGAGCCAGCTTCAGGGTGCTGTGTGGATTGTCTGGGTCTGGCTTTTTGTCCATCTAAGGCAGAGAAACAGGATCATCTGTGGATGCATCTCTCTGTGGGCTGTGTAGACATACTAGGAACACAAACATGACTTCTAACATGATCTTCCTGATGCTCTATTGGTGCAGTAGCTGAGCTGTTGTTAAAATAAAAATGTGCAGATATTTGGGGCCTATTCCCAGCTCACATCCTTGACCACATAAGTGATGCAAAGAGTAAATACTTTTAAATATTTATTTAGAAAGTTGTCATCCTGAGACTGGCTGTTCATTTGTTCAGAGGTCACCAGAGACAAAGAGAGACGAGAGAGACAGACAGACCCCTATCCTTCTGCCTTCCTACTAGAGGAATAAAAGGCAGTGGGAAACACTCCAGCTCACGTCATAGAGAACATTCGTGACAGGGTGACTTCTATTTCATTCAAGTTATTTGGTGAAGTTTGACATAACTAACAGTGTGTAACTTGCTATCATTTAAGGAGTCCTTTTATGTGGTAGCAGGATATTTGTATCCTCCAAGGACACCAAGGTGGGTGTGCATGTGTGTGCTGTATAAAAAGTTATTGAGCCTCAAGCCATCTTCCCTCCTGGGATCTCTCTGCACCAGGATGAAATGGCCTTGGACCATGGCCAACTAGGCAAGAGAATGATGACCTGCTCTTTAAAAGCTTTATAGATAATAGGTCGAGCAGTTTCTGGTTTGCCTCTTCAGCCACGTACCTTCCCACAACTCTCTCAAGAGAGCAGGGATGGTTTGGGGTCGAGGCATGGAATCTAAGAAATAATGCCAGGGAGTTTGACTATGTTCTTCTACTAAACATGTACTTGATTGTTTAGTTCATGTCTTAATGTACAGAATAGCCAATAGACTTTAAGTATGAGACATTAATAATTTATAATTCATTTTCTTTGGGAATGATTCATGGATTACTTCAAACCCAAATGATATCCATTGTTTGATAGCTAGGTGTCATATTCATAAGTATAAAACAAGGTAGAGGTAGCCCATTAAAAAATTTAGGTTCATTTTCTCTGCCTCTTTATTTTGTCTTCCATTAGGAGATGTGGTGCTCTGAATTGTTCTTGATGTTTGTCTTATCTTGTGAACAAAAATCTCCCCAAAGTCCTAACAGTGTCTTCTCCGGAACCTAGCAATGTGTCAGGTAGATCCATCCATGTGTTATATGATCTATTTGTATGTTTTATGGATGGACTCCCAGTTGAGTTCACTGACTTTTTTTAAGGAGAAAATGAATCAATATTGAAACTGTTTTGTCAAATATCATGCATTTATATAGTAGGTGTCTTCTCCAAGAGGAGCAATGATAGTATATCAAACATCTCATGAAATCCTTATGCATTCTTATCTGAGAATTCTTATGTTAAAACAGAGATTTCATGAGTGCCCAATCTTTTGGTAGGGAGCACTGTTTCCAAGCTCTGTCCCTGATAATTATTTCAGAATGAAGTCAACTTCACCTGATGTCCATCTTTTTTTTTTAACTGAGATATCAATAGTTGCCTATGATGATGTGACCACTACTATTACCAACCATGCCTTCAAAAATCTCCTCTAGAAATTATTTCAAGGTCATGGGACATAATTCATTTTGATCAATCTGACCCCCTTGAACAAATTCAGGGGGGCTATATGATCTCAGGAAATCTCCATGTGTCTTGGGCTTCAAGTATTTTTTTAAGTGTGCTCATCTGATACTTTTAAAACTCCAGGCATTCCTTTGGTGAGAAATACAGAAGCACAAATATAAATGAGGCGGTTCAGCCTTCTCCATGACATCGATTATTAACATTACTAAGTCTTCACTGAGCAATGTCTTTGTTCTGTCTGATGCGTTGTATTGATAGTATTTTCCACAAAATCCACCTCAGTCTGATATTTAGCCACTCAGTACTGTTTCGTCCCCCCCTTTTTCTTCAGCTTTAGTTTTGCTCTCTTTTCATTGACTTCTTATTAGCAACAAGTCACTCAAGATGAGATGAAGCATTAAGATTTAAGTGGCTGTATACTAGAGAATGTATTTGGGGCTTATGAAACGGATGGTAAGTATTTTAGAGAAAGTTAACAAAAGACAAAAGCATCATCACGGAGTGTAGGTGTAGCTCAGTGGTAACCCACTGGCCTAGCATTTGCAGAGCTCTGAGTATCTTCAGCCTTGCAACAAGGGAGAGAAAAGTTGAAGCACCTGTTAGGCTGCTTCATGTATTTATTTATTCACTCATACATTCATTTAGTTGTTTAATAAATGCTTATTTAAAGACTGTATTATGCAAAATGCAAACCACTTAATAGTAGATACACATTGACAAACAGGGTTTCTGCTTTCCAGAAATGAACAGTCTGCTGGAGGAATCTGGATGCCTCGCCAGACTAAGAGGAGACAGAGATAGGAACTACAGACAAGATATAGTAAAATGGGGTAGGATGTGGAAGGGTCAGTATGGCTGGAAGGATTTAAAATAAGTTTAAGGTGTTCAAGCTAAGTTGGAGATCTCTATAGAAAACATATCTCTATTTTTGAAAAAGTTTGTTAAGAGGACTAAAACTATAGCTGACACTTAAGAATATTTGTCATGTGCCAGGCACAACTCTAAGTACTGCTTGTGCGTTTTCTCATTAGATCCCTACAACCTTACGAAGTACATATTATTCTTGTAATTTATAGATTGCTCTGTTCTGTGCTCCATAGTTATAATGGAAGCTTTCCTAAAGGCCTTAGGGATAAAGGACACAAAAGAAAGTAGGGGAATAATCAGTGTTAATTATTGGCCCAGTGAAGTCTAATTTAGGCTTTTGAGGAGGGAGTCATTTTATGTGAATTCAGGCTAAATAGTGGGGCCCTTCTAAGAAAATTAAGTTGTATTTCAAGTGTTCATAGATGTGTAAATTCTTAAATGAGTTTTTTCAATTCCTAAGATCACTTTTAATTAATTGACCATCTTTTTATTTTATTTAACCTCTTGGTTTTTTTTTTTTTTTCAAAATTATCCTATCTGTTGGAGAAACCAAGGTGCAAAGTAATTTGCCAGAGGGCACAGTTGGGGCCATAGCAAGAGAAATGGATACCTGAGAACTGTTGCAGAAATAAAATGAGGTGATGTTCTGCCCCTAGTGCAAGGCTTGAGCTGTAGAATAGTCAGCTCTCAGTAGCGTCAGAGAATCCTTAGTGCCAGGACCAGCCTCAGTTACAAAAACCCGAAGAATACTCAGGTCCCTTAAATAAAATGGCATAGTATTTGCATATCACTTGTACACATCATTCTGTGTAGATGAGCACAAATATCATACTGAAATGAGTTAGTTTTAATGGTGACTCAAAGGCATCACAGCCTCAGCCTCTCAAAGCTGGGCTTATTGAATGCCACACACCCACTTCATTCATGCAGATTCAGTGTAGTACGTGGAATACAGCAGATGCATCATAGTTTGGAGGAACATAATCCCCAGCTGTTTGAATCTATGAATGTAGAACCTATTGATACAGAAGGACTTCCTGTATACACTCAGCTAATTATCACTAATGTTCATTCTAGAAGGCAACTTTCGTTCCACCGTGCTACACACAAACCCACAGATCCTTAGCTGTACAGTTGTACTAATTTTTAGGAACAAAACCAGGTGTGGTGAACCACATCTGTAATCCCAGCACTCTGGGAATCTGAGGCAGAAGGATCACAATGTCAAGGCCATCCTGGACAGTTTGACAAATTAGCAAGATCCTTTCTCCAAAATTTAAAAGGGGCCAGTGGGAAGGTCCTGAATTCAATTCCCAGTACTACCAAAATCAAAACCGGAAAGATGAAATTAATTGGAAACACACAGTCTGCCTGTATATTAAGGAAAAGGCAGGATGAAAGCCATCTTTCTCTTTTGCATGCTTCAAACTGCTTGTATTTTCAGTAAGCCGCTGTCGGTTTAGGGAGGTGTTACTGTGTGTGTGTATCTAGACTTAACACAGAGGCCCTGGTCGGGTGGTTCTGAGGGTTCTCCTGGGTTTGGCTTGTTGTGTTGGGTTGTGTGTGTACATTTTTAAGCCAGTGCCTGCCTCCTAGGCTGCCGAAGCAGAGAGTACAAGTCTGAACTACGGAGAAACAGGTTTGAATAAGTCTAGACATTTGGTTATCGTCTGTCTCACATTCATTTGTGTCGTAGGCGTTGCACTCTGGGGATTAGTGTTTCATTATGCAGATGCTGTTTTATCTTTAGCTTCCTTATAATAGCTTGAAGTGAATTCTGAGTGGAGAGAGCAGGAAGGCCAGGCCTTTGTCGCTGCAGGGATTATTCCAAAATGGGTTGGATGGTTTTCCTGGGGACCGGTAAGCATTGTAACCTCAGTGTCTGGTTCACTTAGGTGAAAGCTGTCTCATCTCCTCAATTAGCACACAGGGTGCTGAGGAATTATCCAGGGTCCCCCAAACTGTGAGGAATAGGGAAGCATAGAAATCCGTCCATACCAAGCATCTGATCCTTCGTATGATAGCTATATGTGTGAGTTCTGTGCTGGGGAAAGGAAGGGCATTTCCCATACCTGTGAGTATATAATCACTGCCTCTCCACTTTTTAATTAGCTCCTGAAGCTATAGAAAGAAATTTGCTCCTTTCAGATTAGGCATAGCTTCTCCAAACAATCAATGTTTCATTTTCAAAATTCCAAGTGAAACAGAGTGTGTGTTTTTTTTAGCCCCCCTAACTTTCTGACTGTGAGAATGTTTCATTTTTAGAAACACATTACAGAAAGGTTAGATAACTTTGTTTGCCCAAATAACCACCTCGCTCATATTCTTTTCTAACCTGGGTCCTTCCAAAGGGAGTTTTGGCTTCAGGCTGAGTTGAGTGGTTGTTAAAAATCAGCGTCATGGCAGGTAGGTGTCTTGTGGGTGAAAAAGCCCAGATCAACACTGGGCTTAGAGGAATCTTTTGAGGGATGAGGCCTTGTCGAAGGTCCTTTGTGCCCATGAAGAGGGCTGTGATATCCTGGTTGGTCTCCTGCTTCATGATATAAATGGTTTGTTCCACCCTGCACTCCCAGTATGATGTGCTACCCTCGCCAGAGACCCAAAGTAAAAAGGCCTCTTGATCTTGGACTAAACTTCTGAACTATGAGCTGAAACAAAACAAACTTTGTTTCCTTATAAATTAATTGCCACGGGCATTTCATTATAGTGACAGAAAAGGCCAGCTTTGCAGATTCAGTCCCAGTATGGGCTTGTCAGCCTTGGCCCTACTTCATTCACACATTCACTATTGACTGATACATTCCCTCACCCAGTGAGTCACATTCATTCACCCATTTGTAAACATTTGTTACATGCAACATCACTGCTAGATAGGCTTCTGGAAAGGATTGGTTTTCCACAGTACAGACATAAACTCACAATCCCAGAGGCTGAAACACAGATCAAGGCTTATGTGAAAGCCCAAATCTGTAACAGAGGAGGAGGAGTCTAGAGCTTTAGCAGACAAGCTTACGTTTGTACCTAAAAATCCATCCTTCATTTTTGAAAGGTAGTGTATGTGGTAAGCACATGCACTGAAGAACTTGGCAGGCCTGGGTTTGAGTCGTGGACCCATAACATACTCACTCACACTGAGGAAGTGGGGTTTTTTTGAGCTTCCGTTTGCACTTCTGTGTGGTAGTCATTTCTGCTCTGCAGAGTGGCATGAGGATTAAGCAGGCAATGTAGTGATTGCCACATTAAAACAAAGTATTCAGCAAAGGCTACTCCACTTCCTCTTCCTTCACAGGTAGGGTGACCTGGGCCAGAGGTCAGGGAGACCCTTCTTATTGTGAATAGACAGAAGCTTCATTACCTAATACTAGAAAAGCACAGGTCCTTCCTGCCCATGTCCCCAGGGGCTGCACCTTTCTGCCAGAAGGTATGGTTTTGTGCCTCTCAGCACCTGGTGGCAGGTACCTGATGATCTTCCATCTCCCTGGAGGGAGGCTCTTGTCCTCTCCAAAGAAATCTGCTGCACAGAGACAGCAGCACAGCACTACCTAGAGGAACAGACTCTCACCAGGCAGTCACTCTGGGGATGCACAGTTCCACTGCTAAACTCATGACCTTTAGGGAATTTGGCAATGTACTTCTCTGTGGGGGACAAAGAGACAAATTCAAGATTAAGTTTGTATGTTAAAGGGCTTTTATTTTGATGCTATTGAATTGTGTTTGGAGATTGCGTACCCTTCAGATTTCTTAGGATGTGGGTGAGGGAGATCTAGATTTCATGAGCTCCTTGCAAGGTACTGAGGCTGTAACTTTGGGGCCTATTTTCTCCCATTGTCCTTGGGAGGCAGAGAGCCCTGCAAGAGAAACTGCTGAAAGATTCAACCCATTGTCATGGGTAGAACTGTATGGATATTTGAATTTAGGTTAGCTGCTTGATGGGTTTCTGTTTCATTGCTTTGGTGTTTTGTTTTTTGGGAAAGAGAATGTTTTAGGATAAATGGGAGAAGGGAAGGGAGTGTCTGTAGTCTGACTGATGAGCTTCTGAGATAAGGCCTCAGAGGTTACAGTGCAGTTGTAAGTAACCCTTTGGGAGATAAGGACTCATGGGAAGGTGCCTCAAAGCAAAGTATTCATCTTACTAGTCACTGGCTGTTAAAATCTGGCTTACTTCAAACTAACTTGCTTACTTTTGAGCTTTAGGGTGCAAATTACGGGTTGAACACTTGGGAACATACATAGCAAGGGAAGTCTTTTAGAAGGTTATCTCTGCTGTGTCAGGTTGTCTTCCACAATGCACAATTCAGGGAATCAACATTTCGTTAATCTGCTTACAGATGAATTTTATGCAATTTCAGGATTCACCTCCATGATCCTCCCATTTTTACAGCCATAATACATTTCTCACACTTAGTGACGCATTCAACTAGTATTTCTTGAGTGTTTCCCCCAAGCAAGATCCCTGGAGATGAAGACGTGAATCAGAACATTGGTATTAACCTCAAGAAGAGGCAATCTGCAAGGAGCAAGGAGCTATAAAATGTGTATGTGGACAGCTTAAATAGAAGGAGAACATTAGAGTCAGATGTTACGAATCAGAAAACTTTGTACATTAGTGGATAGAAAAATCAGTTTCCTCTAAGGCAGTCTCAGAAAAAACATCAGGACTTTGACTGAAATTCACATTCTTTCCTATACACTGTGAGCTAGGTCAGTTAAGGGCAGTTTTAGTATCTCTGAACTTCATCAGTGATCTGTATCTCTGTTCTCATTCCCTCCGATCTGTTCATATTCCTCAGTATCCTAAACCCTGTTGCAGCCTGCAAGATTTTTGTTTTACCCTTTAAGATAACTAGAAGAATCTGGAACACATCAGGTTATGTTGCCACAATCATAGGCAAACGTTCTCTAGATTTCAGCAAGAACCACGTCATTAGTCAGGCATGGTGGTACATACTTGTAATCCCAGCACTCAAGAGGCTAAGGCAGGAGGGTCATGAGTTTGAGGCCAACTTGAACTAAACAGTGAGACACTATTGCCAAAGCAAAAACAACAAAACCACAGGCGCATCAAGGACTTTCACTAAATACTGCCTATAAAATATGTCTCATTTTAGCATATAGTACTTATTTATGTTACACATTATTAAATTTAATTGAATGTAATTTGCTATCAATAATGAAGTAATATGATATGATAGCCATACCCTAGCATCAATAAAATATGGAAATTGGTTATTTTTGATTATATATATGATGGCACTGTCTTGAAGAGCACCCCCTTCAGCTTTTTGTTTGGGAAGTATTTTGCCTCTTTGGTATTGGTCTTTCTCATCCAAAAGAAGCTGATAGGAGACTTGATGTAACTTTTCTTTGCTCCCCTGATGTTGTTTACATGTGATTCTAATAGACATGTACTTCACTAGAAATTCATAATCTGAAGGAAACACCTGATGATGAAAATGTTACAAAACAGAATAATTCAATAACTCATTGTTTCATATATGTGGATAAATAATAGGTCAGAAAACAGCTTGACACAGGTTTGGACAAATCATTGCTTGAACCAGTCGCTACATATTGCTACATCAGAAAAGCCCAAGATAGCCAGTGAAGAGAGAAATCCAATTGAGAGAAATCCCAGTGCAAGCATGGGAGGGGACTGCCCCTATTCAGCATAGTAAACAGATACGTTTTTCAAAGGTCACTTCAGGAAAAAAAAAAAAAATAATAACAAAAACTAAAGTCACTGCAGGTTCCCCAGTTCCATACAGGGCTGCTCAGCATTTGCTCAGCGTTTTAATTGTCTTGTGGAAACTGGTTCTGTATCATCATCTAGATTATAAATTCCTTGAGTGATGAGACATTACTTATGGGCACAGTAGAGTGTCAGTATTTCAGAATTGCTGCTAATGGGAGAAAGTAAGGTGGAAAGATATTTCAGCAGAAGGTAAGAGCCCCCAGATCTTACACTAGGTGCCGCCTCTGTTCTCTTCAAAGTCTTCATATGCCTCATTGTTTTCAAAGCCACAGAACGCGTGTGAGGAGGAGGAGGTGGAGCAAGGAGAGGCTTGGACTCGCCTTTGTGTCCGAGAGCGGTTAAGATAGCCTCAAAACTGTCTTCAATTTATACAGACTGGCTTTTAAAATTACATGAACTGTAGGTCACATTCCAAATTTAAGAACTATGCGCTCATAATTGCAGTTACCTCATAGGATTAAGAAATCCTTCGCTGGAGAGCAGAGCGCGCTCTGCGTTTGCCTGGGTGGGTCTTGGAGGCGTGGCCTGGGTACTATATATGGTCGCTTGCGGCATCCTCTCCGGAGCTGGTCCCCGCTCTGTTTCCTGGTCACCATGAACTAAGCGGCTTTCTTCCTCCACACCCTTCTGCCGTGATATTCCTGCCTTGCAGCCAGCTGGTAATGGGGTGCATTTCTCCAAGCTGTGAGCTACCTTGAACAGAACTCTTAACTTGTGAGTATCAAGTATTGTGGCTCTGCTGTTGGAAAGCTGACTAGCGCACTGTGCTTTTAATGTTTTTTTCTTTTATTATTGCTACATTTCGCGTAGAAAACAAAAGTAGGGGCAGTGCTGTGGGACCCAGCACCTTCTCTGGGTGGGCATCTTGTGCTGATTAGGAAACCGAGCAGAGCCCAGTTAGTTAGCAGAGCCCAGTTAGTTACAAAAAATAAATGTCAAGGCAAGTCAGACTCATTCATTTCTGAGCAGCAAATATCGATCCCATGACATGGTTTGATTATGACTGCTCATACTATGTTAAATGACTGAGTTCCAATGTAGGTGAAGGATGAAGCTCACATTGTGTGCCATCTGATTGGCCGGTTTACTAATTTAGTTGCCAGTATTTATTAAACACATACTGTGCACCAGTAGGTGGTGTCAAGGTCTCTACTGAGTTCTAGAATTAGACCCAGCTCTGTTCAAGTTCTAATTCAGTGACCAAAATTTTTAGCAGTGAGAATTCAGATAAATTACTTAATCCTCTTATGTTCCTTATCATAAAATCATAAAGGTTATTGTGAAAATTAAGTGACAAAAATCATAGCAAGAACTTAGCTACTATTGGAGAATAAGGAGTAAATTACTAGCTTTCATTACCTTATCGTATTCCTCATTCTTGTAGAAATTTGAGAGATGGAATGTGAAAGCAGGCTTTGGTGAAGCCCTTGTTTACAGTGACTATAGTTTGTTTAAAAGGACTCTAACTCAGATGTTACAGGCCTTCAGGCACTCTTTTGGAATGTCACTTGAGCTCCTGTTTCCATCCTGTGATAACATGACTGTTGATGATTGCTTACACATTTACTCTGTGATCAACTACAGTAGGGAAATGTGCCCCCCAGCTCCTCAGTGGTGGAAATTTTCTTATCAAGCTATGAAACACGACAGGAGGCCCATGTTATGTGTGACCCCACTCCAAGGCCTTGGGTTGGGAGGTGTTTTCAGTGTCATAATCCTTTTTACTGCCCGCACTCTGCCTCCATTCAGCTTCAGAACTTTTAGGCTATTATTGGTAGGTTCCATGGCCTTTGGACTGTGGCAAGAGTATACAGTAACACTTAGGTGCTTACCTCATAATGCCCAGGAAGCAAAGAAAGGAAGGAAAGAGGGTCCTAATATCCCCTTCAAGGGCTCCCTCTCAGAGACCTAAGACTTCCTTCCAGGCCTCATCTCTTGGAATTTCCACTAAGCTGGGGACTAAGTCTTTAACACATCAGCCTTTTGGAGCCATCAAAGATCCAAATCATAGCACTGTTTGAACTGAGATATAAGCAAACATGATAACATATATGAGCTCTGTTTAGCATCCTAAGGGTGATAGAGCTAATTTTGGGGAGCATGCACCAAAGATATTCCATGGGGCAGACCTACCATGGGAAGACCGTCGTTTAATGATTTCAGTGTGCCCCTGGGAGAAGGGCCACCACCATTTAAATGCCCACCTGGGCACTGGTTCCACAGCAGGATTCCACTCACTCCACCCATCTTATTTTGGATCATAAGGCATTGTCTTAGAGGAGGACTTTTTGGAAAGCATTTTAATAAGCTATTTGTTTCACTAATCTGAAGTTAAAACTTTGGGATAAGGATGGTGACCTACAATATGATCTTTAAAACTGAAGCCAAGTTAATGAGCATTATTACTCCTTCCTGTGTGATCTGGGGCCACATCCGTTTTTATCTCTGAGCTACAGCATCCTCAGAAATGATCTCTCCCCTCCTTCAGCTGTGATCCTTTACATATCTCACTCCAAGGTGCACGTATTAGGGAAGTGAAATGCCCTGTAGTGCCTTCAATAGATATGCTTGCCAAATATTTGTTAGGATTGTATTAGCTGATCTTCTTGCCTTAGAAATAAAGATAACCCAATGAATTGTTGGCTGTGAATAAATCAAAATGGATTTAAGTTTCCTTTAGGCTCTTGAAAAGAATGTTTCACTTAGGCTCTCTTTGATATGATTAATTTAGAAATGAAAGGAATCTTGACAATTCTGTTTACCTCCTCATACCTTCAAATATTCCACTTCATCTCTCATCACTTTAGTTTAATGTAGGAAAGTTGTAGAAGGGGTTGTTTTGAGACCTCATATTGAACAAATCACTGAGTCTTCCTTGAAAGAAAAAGAAAACATACAGGTATATTTCTAATGCATTTATAGTCAACATTCCCAAAATAATCACCGTGTGGGAAGAGCTTCTTCTCATGTTCACAATCATTTCAGGATGCTTTAGGGATAAAGGAAATGCTGCCATGCTCCCCCAGAGCCAGTGCCTTTCCCATTTGCTGACTTGTCTTTCACCTCCCATTAAATTTAATGTCTTCATTCACCCACTGATTTCATGAGTGTTCCATAAAGGACGTTAGCTGTACTTTGCACATGGCATGCATAAATATTAGCCAAGACGGTGGCGGGTCAGGGTGTGCTGCAGACTATCTCAGATGGAACAGACACCAGGAATGGAGCACAGAACTCCTCTAATCACCCATGGCAACTGGATGCCCGATGGCCCATCAGCCAAAGCGGGCTTGCATAGTTCATTTCCGAGAATTTCTTCTAGCGCCAACATTTTATGCAACCTGGGCTTTTCATAGTGATTCCTTTATTGCTTCCTATATTACTAGACAGTTTTCCTTCTGTACCCTGCTCCCTGAGTGCTCTTTGAAATCACAGCATAGACGTTGCCATCACCTATATGCACAACTTCGGTATGGACTTCGGCGAAGCTATGAAATGGAATTGAAAGGAGTTAGGCTAGAAAATTAGAGGTGTTCCAGCATAAAATTCAAAATACAGAAAAAAAGTTTCTAAGCTCACTATATAGTTGTTTACAGCAAGGCTTGCAACCGGGACTTAGGGCTTTTATCGACACAGCATAAATAGACTACTACGTAAGGCAGAGACGTACCCTGAACAAAAGGTTGCCTATAACACTTTATATGCCCGTGATATACTTAATAATCCAGAGGAGATTTATCTTCTGTCCTGTACGCTGAGTAGCAGTGATGCAGATATATCTAATGTCTGTATAGGACTGTGTTCTGCAGGGCAAGGTGAGGGACTAAAATGTGAATATTTGTTGATAGGTCACAGGTGGTACCCCAGGGGACCCTGAATCCAAACAATCACCTCTGAGAAATTACCCAAGCACCAAAACATCTTCCAAGCCTCATGTAGTGGCATTAATATATTAGGTGCCTGATAGATATTGCTGGATGAATAAAGTTTCCCAGGCTAGAATAAAGTAAGCAAGTGTGGTTATTAATAGAAAGTCAGGCATTAGATATGAAGTTGTGGGTGGGACAGCCCCTGCTGTGCAGTCAGACCCCAAGGGAGGGTGGGAAGGTTAGCCATTAAGGCAGGGCTGCTGTCAGCTCACAGGAAGTGATGCACAAAACTGCCTGCTTAGTGAGTGTGTCTGTGTTTGTGGGCTGGGGGCTTAGCTCAAATATAAATCAAGGACCCTGCGCCAGTGAGCTGGTCTCTTAAAGAGGAGCAGAAGACTGAGTGTGACCATGTCCCAAAGAGTGTCAAATCTCACATCTCCCAAGGCCCCATCATATCAGAGCTGCTTGTGCCTGGTTAGCATCTGGACCCCAGGACAGAGGAGCTGGAGACCATCTCATCATGGGTGGTCCTGGAGATCAGGTGAGCTCAGGGAGTAGAATCTTCCTAAAAGGCCAGCCAGCAGAGTTGTGGTTCATGCTAGAGTTCCAGTCTGTCTGAGTACACGTGTATATGTGCAGTGGAAAATAGGAAAGTAACCCTAACCCACTTTGAACAAGGTTCTCCTTGTCTGATTCTCCTTTTGTTATTTTCCCCTGTCTCTCATATCTTTCTGCTTAAAAAAGCAGTCCAAGAAAATCTGTCCAGGGTATACTTTGAAGGGGTCATGCAGGAGGCAAGAATAATTGGCCTCCTTCTTTGGCTAAGAGGTCATAAGTTAAGGGTGGTTTTATTTGTGTATCCAGTCGGCACCCCACATATGCACCCTGACATCGATATCATTAATTATCTGCTGCTGTGGATTGATAAGAAAGATGAGCACACTGGCCAGAAAAGCTGCAATTCTCTACATTACCCCCAAAGGCAGTAACTTCTCTCTTTAGTCTTCAAATACTACATAATTTCAGGCTTTTTTTCCCCCTGTTGCTAGATGTTTAGAGCTCCCTCCAGTGTCTCTATGTTGTCATACTTATGTGAAACTTCTAAAAAATGATCATAAGGATTCCTTTAACTGCAGCAGTGAGAGTATTTTATTTTCTTTATGCTTGCTTCAAGAACCACGCACGAGGCCCAGAAGTGTCATACATGGCCCTGCATCCTCGAGAGAGCAGTCTTTCCTGCAGTCTGTGCTTCCCTCCGACTGAGAGCATCCAGGGGGTGAGGGAGGGTGAAGAATCGATGGGAGAGCGGCACAGGGGAAGAGGTTGGAATGAAAGTGGGGTGAAAGTGACTCAGTTTAAAGCTCTTCACAGCATCTCCCACTTGGAAAATGGGGGTACCCTGATCCGCCGTGGGAAAGCTAAAGACTTAGGATCCAGATGTCTTGTAGCACTTGTGTTTATCATTCTGGCATGAGAACCATGGTGCATGTCCAAGGTTGGACTTGCTCTGCTGAGTTTTGGAGCCAGCAGAGTTGTGGTTCATGCTAGAGTTCCAGTCTGTCTGAGTACACGTGTATTTGTGCATGCATATGTGTCTATGTATGATACGTTGAGTATACACGCATGACGCATGTGCGCGTCTATCTCCGTGTAGGCAGTTGGTTCTCCATATCCTTGGGCTCTCTATCTGTGGGTCCCATATCCACAAATTCAACTAACCACCGATGGAAAATACAAAAATAACTGATCACGTGTAGACTTTTCTCTTGTTCTCTAAACAGTACGGTGTAATAACTGTATATAGTGTTTATTTTAGTCATTACAAATAACACCTAATATAACTTT